TCCTCTTACCTGACTGAGCCCACTCTACTGATAAAAGGACTCCAAACACTTCTCTTGGCTACTAAATCCTCACCCTCCTGCCCCATGACATCTCCGTATTTGTTACACCAACACCACCTCCCTAGATCCCCTGGGAAGGCTTGGGTGCAGCCAGGATCCCATCTTAGAGGAGACAGAACTAGGTTTTGACCCATCTCCTTCTCTTCATCTCTGATGTGACCCTGGACAAGCCACTGTGCCTCTCAGGGCCTCCCCAGTCTTATCTCCTGGACAATGGGGATCACTTTAGCATCAACCTCCTAGGGATGTCATCAGGCATCTGTGAGATGACACTTATCAAACCTGTGGGCTGCTGTGACATGTATTTAATGCACAAAATGAGATGAAATACAGGAATTCCTGAGTGGGATGTAGCATGAAACACAACTGCCAACAACCTGGGTTCCTGCAATGTGGTCCTGGCAATGTCACTTCCCCTCTTGGCATCCTTTCACTGTGTGCAGGATGACTGTGTGAAATTCGATTAATTCAGCTACCTCATGCCCCGTAAACCTTCCCATGGCTTCCCATTATGTGTGGATTCAGACCCAGGTGCCTCCTCTAGGCTTATGTGGTGCGCAGCCTGCTCAGTGGCTCCCAGCGAACCCCCTCCCAGTACACACATCCTTGTGCCATCCCCTGTGCTTGAGTGTGGACTGGACTTAGGGACTCACTTTTAACCAATGGAATGTGCAAAAGTGGTGCGATGTCACCTCCAAGATTTAGTTATTATGTGACTAACATCCTGCTCTCTCTCCTCTGTTCTCTCTTCCTCTCTCGTTCTTTTTTGTTCTTTCTGTCTCCCTTTTTCAGATCCTGAGCTCTGCGGATGCAGCTGCCCTGAGAGGAGGCTCACATATTTTAGGACTTAGAGAGGGCAAAGGTCAGAGGGGAACTCAGGCCCTCCGTATAAACTGAATCCAGCGAGCAACCATGTGACTGAGCTTGCAGGTGGACCGTGCCCCAGATGATCCTCAGTTGAGACCACAGCCCCAGCCTCCTGGGAGACCCCAGGCCAAAGGCAGCACCTGAGCAGGGCTGGATCCCTGCTCCACAGAAACTGTGAGATGACTGGTGCTTGTTGTAAGCTCATAAATTTGGGGTAGTGTTTTTACACAGCAATAGACCACTCATACTGTCTACCAGGCCGCAGAATCTGCCCCTGCCCTTCTACCTTCTCTTTCTCTTCTCCCATGCTCTCTCCAGCCACACTGGCTGCCTTTGTAACTGCCTCTGTGGATAAACTCACTTCTGACTTGAAATCTCCGTACAGGACTGGTGAAAATGGAGATGAGATGTGGGTGTGGTGAGTCAGGGAATCTGAGCTGGCTCTGCCCTTGGCATGCATTCTAGGAGTCCAGGCTTCCTAGGGCATTGGAATCAGCGTCTGCCAGTGAGTCCCCACACCTGCGGCTTGGTGTCTTTAGCTTCTGATCCCGGATTGGCGACTTCTGTCTGGGCACCTCACCCTTTGCAGTTTGTCTGTGTCATCCCGGTGGTGACTCCTGGCGTCATCTGACAGCTCATATGTCCACTGACCCTGCTAGCTGCTCCCTGTGTCATCACGTGTCCTTGGCTCACTCCATCTTTCTAGGTCTCAGACACTTGCCTGCAGGCCCTGTGTCCCCCGACTGCCTGGTGCTGGCTTTGATTTAAGAAGACCTCTTACACAGGAAGAGTGGTAAAGGGAATGCAGCGCAATGCATTTTTTCTTTAGTGCATACAAATTCTGATTTCAAAATATATGATCAACTCAGTTAAACCACTTCTCTGAGATGACAATAGGGATAAGAGAATTATATGTATATTGCATTGTTTTATTTTTCCCCCAGCCCAATATGGGTAAGAATCGGGGGAGAGCCAATTGTGAAGAGAAAAGAAGTACTGTGTTCAATTAATTCTGTGACTCATATGTTTTTCAGTTTCACACATATCTGAAATCGACTGTATCTTAGAAACACTGTTGGCCAGTTGGAGTTGTCATGTGGTTATCA